AAGGTGGTATTTTCGAAATTTATACGAAGGCTTTTGCTGTTCATTAATGAGTCTTCGTATGCTTCGTGCTTCGAATGTTTTGATCAAGAAGTAGAATTTTCGAAAACAGCCCCTGAACCTTCGAATTTTTGTCACTTCGCAAATTAAAGCAAGTTTCGTATGTTTGACACTTTTCACCCAACTTCGAAAATTGTTTGAGGCTTCGCATATTTGGTACAAGTCTTCGTATGTTTGGTGCACAAGGGCAGAATTTACGAAAATAGTCCCTGAAACTTCGAATTTTTGGCAGTTTTCACCCAAATTCGAAAAAGGACTAATTTTTGATGAGAATTGAAGAAGTGCATTTCAGGCCCCTGCAGTTTGTGCAAATTGACGCTTTCTACCCAGCTTTGAAAAAGGGGGAGAGTTTTGCATATTTTGCTGTATCGGGCGCAACGGGTCACTGCAGAATTTTGAAATTGACAATTCTTACCCATTTTTGAGAAATTTTGTCAAAGGCGATCCGTAAACGACAATAAAAATTGAATATTTTTTGGGTTTTCCGGATTGAAGCACAAAGTTTATGCCACATGTTAAGGGGGAGTTTTGACATGGAAAATTCCGAATAGAGCACGTTATTTTTCCTTTGGAGTTTTATAATCAAATTTCGATTATAAAGAGGGGGAGAAGTTTTATAAAGAAGAGCAAATTATCGGAGAAGAGCCAATTATTAGAGAAGAGCCACTTTTCGAAGCAGAGCCAATACACGAAGAGGAACTAATACTTGAGAAGGATCCCATTCTTGAAGAAGAACATTTCGATGATGTTGAGGATGCATGTTCCACAAATGGATCAGAAACTGATGCTATGTTCGAAGATGCACATTTGGATTTTGATCCTAATTATCCACCATTGGATAAATGGACAAGAAATCATCCTGTAACACCCCCCATCTGGCACGTATCACAATATTGGGGTGTTACACATCCAAAAGAATAAATTCTTGGTGATCCACAAGCAGGAGTAATGACAAGGGCTCAACTTCATGCACGAAATGAGGTATTGAATATTCATCAAGAGTTATGCATGTTTAATGTTTTTATTTCTAAATTCGAACCAAAGATAGTTAAGGTTGCAATGGAACACTCTGATTGGGTTGTTGCTATGCAAGTTGAATTGTCTGAATTCGAAAGAAACAAGGTTTGGATATTAATTGCGAAACCTGTTGATGTGTTAATTGTTGGACTAAAATGGATTTATAAAAACAAAACTGACAAAGATGGAAACATTATTCGAAATAAGGCTAGACTTGTTAAAGGATATTCGAAACAAGAAGGAATTGATTACGAAGAAACATTTGCCCCTGTCGCAAGACTCGAGGCTGTTCGTATTTTTCTGGCTTATGCAGCTCATAAAGATTTCGACGTTTATCAAATGGATGTAAAATGTGCATTCCTAAACAGCGAACTCGAAGAAATGGTATATGTTCAACAACCACCAGATTTTATAAATACCGAACATCTTGATCATGTTTATATTTTAGATAAAGCTATGTATGGGTTAAAACAAGCACCAAGAGCATGGTATGCAACTTTAACATCATTTTTGAAACAGTCTAAATTTAAACAAGGATCAGTTGATCCCACTTTATTTCGAAAGAAAATTGGGAATCACCTGATGCTTGTTCAAATTTATGTTGATGAAATAATTTTTAGCTCTACTGACCCTGCTTTTCCAAAGAATTCGAAGACCTAATGAAAAGCAAATTCGAAATGAGTATGATGGGCAAAATTAATAACTTTTTTGGTTTGAATATTCGTCAAAACAGGGAAGGCATCTTCATTAATCAGGAGAAATATACGAGGAATTTGTTGGAAAAGTTTAGCATGACGAATAGCACAAAGTTACGAGTACCAATGGCAATGGGCATAAAGCTAACTCCTTCGTTAGATAAATCTGCTGTTGATCTCACTCTGTATCGAAGCATGATTGGGTCTTTATTGTATTTAACTGCAAGTCGACCTGATATTATGTTTTCTGTTTGTAATTGTGCAAGGTATCAATCCAATCCACGTGAACCACAGTTGGCAATCGAAGAAGCAAACATGTGTTTCGATATCTACAGCTGAAGCTGGATATGTTGCTGCTGTTGCGTGTACATCACAAATAATTTGGATTCAAAGTCAATTACGTGATTATGCTATTAATATGAAAAAGATTCCTTTATATTGTGATTCAGAAAGTGCAATAAGAATTTGTCATAATCCTGTGCAACATTCGAAGACTAAGCACATTGATCTCAGATATCATTTTATCAAAGATCATGTTGAAGAAGGAAATATTGAAGTTCATTTTGTGAGAACAACGGAACAATTGGCAGATATTTTCACAAAGGCATTGGATGAAAAATCTTTTCTTCGTATATTGGAAGGATTGGGTCTGGTTGATTGAAATTCACTTACATGTGATAAAAGTGAAGGTTGATGCATTCAAATGTTTTGGTGAACTGAAGGACAAATTGCTTACAAAAAGTTAAGTGCTCAAAGGTTACTGTTCATGGTCAACGCTTCGAATGCTTCGTATTCGCAAGATTTATTCCTTGTTGAAGTACATAATCAGAGGATACTGTTCAAGTCAACAGTTCGAATGCTTCGTGTTCATATGATTTGAAGATCTTTCTAATTCACTTCTTTGCATTCGTACACATTTTAACTAAGGTTAGAATTTTAATGTTTATTTTAAAAATCCAAAAAGATTTTATTTTGGTTTGTTATTTTTTAAGAAAAACATTTAAAAAATACCAAAAATATGTTTTGTTCTCTTCGGTTTTAACATGTGTATTGTGAGTTTTTTCAAGCTTTAAATGCGAAGGATTCATGTGTGTGTCTTCTATGGGAAGGTATGATTTTGATACTTTAGATTAGTTAGGATGTCCCTAGAAGCATGCTGCTGCATGTTGCCTTAAGCCTCGTATGACTCTATGTGTGAGAAATGAAAGCCTTAATGAAGTTATCTCATGAAAATTTCTTCCCAACAAGGCTTGTATTCGCATAAGTCAATAGAGCTACCTTACTCTTCTCAAATGAGTTAAGAGTTGTCTGTTTGGTCCATCTATAACAGAGGTACATACGATTCGAAAACCAATCTTTTTCATCCTAAACTTCTTTACACCATTCACACACAATGACGTATGTCCAAGAGATTGTTGATCAAACCAATTGCAATCTAGACATACAAATACTCTATGTTTATGATCTAACATCATGAGTCCGTGATGGTAGTGAAACCCTAAAAACCAACAAATCAAGGAATTGACGGGGAACTATGTTCCAGAACTTACGAAACATTTGTTTCAGTACATTTTATACTCAAAATGGTATTCAATCTTTTTGAGTGATCTTCATCAAGCATTCGAAACCTATGGTGTTTGTTCCCAATAAGATCCAGCATAATATTTTTCTTGAATATGATTTCCGTATGAGTATATTTTGAAAATCCTTGTTACTTTACATATCATTCGCAACCAAGTTGTCACTGACTACACTGGTCATACAACTAATTTTGCTTACAATTTATCACCTTATGTTAAGGTTGAAATGTAACGAAATTTTCGAAGCCACCCATTTGCCTTATAAAAGAAACCCTTCGAAACTTCTCTACAAGTTATCGATTGTAATTCACGGGAAACAAAGCAAGCTGTCAATTATCTCTCTTGATAATTTTCGAAGAAATCTTTGCCCAGTATTAAACTGTTTTTGTGTCAAAATAAGTTTTTTGACATCACAAGTTTTCAAAAAAAAATTTCATTTGTTTCTCATCTAAATTTTTTTTGGAAACACAGCACACACTAAATCCTTGAGGTTCTGAGTAAAACCAACTCAGACTAATGATTTCGCAAATCTAGCAAATGACTTTGCTTTATATACCAAAAGTGAAAGAGCCCTGCTTCCTTGCGAAGGTTTTTCTTTTAACGGTTTGAAATCTACAACGGGAAACTTGACAGGCTGTGTACTCAAGATGGTTGGTAGTCTATCCGGTTTTTTAAGGAGATGGGACAGTTACTTTTTGAAGCGTGGTTATCTTTTACCGTCATGATCCGATTTTCAAGGTGCCACGTCGGATAACATTAAATGCATCCCGCTTTAATTTCAAATTAATTTGGCTAACCTATAAAAGGGGAACTCAGGAGTCCATAATACTTTATGCGATCAAACATTCTTTGTCATAAAAAATTCTCTCTGCAACTCATTTCTTCAAACAATCATCTTCTTCACACACTTTCTGTTCTTATCTTCAACAATGGCGACTACATCATCTCCAACCACAGAAGAAGTTGTTAGCATTCCAATTCTGAAATTCCAGGGTTCCAACTACCAAGTGGAATCTAATCTATCAAAATATCCGATGGAACTCCAAATTTTGGTGGTCGCTTTATAGAATTTAGTTTTGTCTAAAGCAATGTTTGATTCTTTTGCTGTTCCAATGTCTTGGTTATCAAAGGCAGGTTCTACTACATCATACAACAAGGAGACAGGTTGTGTTGAATTCACTATGGTGAATGGTACGCGTATTAGGGTGTCCAAGCGTTTGTTTTGCAATTGGGGATTCCAAATTCTGGTCCTTATGATGAAGTTTCTTCTTCTCAAGTGGTGTTTATGTTCAATGAGATGGGCCATCAACCTCCATTGTCACGTATCAGTGACTTCAAGAAGTCTGGATTACCTACGGTATGGAATTTTTTGTTTGGCATTTTCCTGGTTGCCGGACTGTATTATGATCTGCAAGTGGATTACTCTGAACAATTATGGACAGAGTTCTTAACTAGCATTTCAAAGACGAGTGCCAAGTAGGGGATTTCTTGTGCTTCTTATTGGAGTTTGATCATACAATATGTTTACCGCAAGGAGCAGATCGAAGTTCTGGAGTTCGAAGAAAAGGCGGTGTTTCACATGTATGGTAGTCCGAAGGAAGTAAATGATGATCCGGCTATCTTTACATCAATAGCTCGCATTCCGGATGCGATGCTCAAGAAGGTGGATCCAACGAATAATGTTTTGGTGTCATATTTGCAATCTATTGACACAACAGTTGTTACAGGGGTGTTACATGAAGACGAAGAGAGGAAAAAGTCTAAGAAATCGAAGAAGACAACTGGTGGGTCTTTGGAAAAAGTGGCGAAGGCAGAAAAGAAGAAGAAAATTCCAGTGGTCGAAGAGGTATCTCAAATTTTAACTTCAGTGGTTGATACACAAAGAATCGAAGCGTCTCCATCGACAGAAATGATTCCTTCGAAGACGGGTGGTTTTCGACGGATCAAAATAAAACGAAAGTCTCAGATGGTGAAGAAAACGCAAGTATCCCATCAAGGGGTCACAGTTCGGGAAATTCCAGCTCCGGTATCTCCATTATCTAAAAAACGAAGGGCTGAAGATTTAGCAAAATTTTTGAAGAAGAGTCAAAGACTTGAAGAAGTTGAGCAAGTTCCTAAGACACCAGAGATTACACTTCAAGAAGAAGTGAAGACCAGTTCACCTGTTGTTTCGAAGTCTCTTGAAAGAAGTTCACTACCCCAGGTTACATCCACTACTGATTCTCCTACATTTCAATTTATTATGGATCAACCATTCACCACCATATTCTCAACTCAATCAACTGATCCACCCCATCCATCCTCACCTACTGATGAAACCATGGCTACTGATGCTGAAACCGATAACGAAGGCTTTGGAGGAACATTCGAAGCTCTTCATTTTGATCAAGCTGAAGAAGATTTCCCTGACCACATGCTGATGACTATGAAGCAGTTTAAGATTTTGAATTCGAAATTGAATTCTATCTTGCAATCCCAAGCAGATGTGGGCAGTGGTGGAATTACAAGCATGGAAGTTGATTCCTTAATGAAGGTGATGGAAGGAAGGGTGATCTCAAAGGCATCAGGGTTGATTAGGGATTCGGAGAGTCGAGTTCTTGCGAAGGTTAATCAGAATGATATTTCTACAGATAATCGAATCAATTCTCTGAGATTTGATTTGGTGAAAGATTTAAAGGATCTAAACCTTGTTACGAAGGAGCGTCATGTGCTCTTCGTACAAGAAGTCAAGAAGGTACGCGAAGATGTTAATTTGCAAATCAGAGAACTTTGTGAAGATATGACGAAGGAGGTTCAGGCTGTTCAACAAGATTACGCGTCAGCAAATCAGAAGATTGACATTATTTGTGATGCTGTTGCAAAATGTGTTAAATTGTTTGAGCAGATGAATCCTCAACTGACCACTCTTTCTGCCAAAGACGAACAAAATTTTGGAGAGTTGGTCAGGTTGTTAAAAGAACTCCAAGACTTGTCTTCGAAGTCTATCTCTCCAATTATTTCTCAAGAATTTCTTTCTCAGAAATTTTCCCACTTCGAAGCCATCCTACACAAAAACTTAGCTCCACTTCTTTGCATTTCAACCCTTCTGCCAAATGTTACAAATGCCCCCACCTTCTTTCACAAGGGTGCAAGGGGGAGAAAAGATTGATAAATCGAAGGCTGCGGAACAAACGAAGACATCTGAAGTTGCGAAGGTAGTTGGAAAACTTTATCCTTCGAAGGTGGTGACAAAACCGAGTAATATTTCAGCAGGTCCAGTCACTTCGACTGTGATCACAACAATTCCACTTCCAAAACCAAGTTCAAAAGGTGTTGTGATTGGGAAGCAAGCTGATGTTTCTTCATCGAAAAAATTGGTTTTGTCAAATGTCGAAGACAAGGGAAAAGGAATTTTGATTGAAAAGACAAAAGAAGAAAAGAAAGTTGAGGTGGCAGTTGAGGTGGAAAGAATGAGGCAGGTGCTGAGCATAATGAGACAAAGGGCTCTGGATGGTTCGAATGTTGATAAGGGTGATCCAGCAAAATTTTATAACTACGAAACCATCGAATCCAAAGTGATATTTGATTATATGTACTCATTTGAAAAGATTCCGAAAAAGAGCTATGTGGTGATGAACACAGATTTTGGTCAACTTGACTTTCCAGTCAATGAAATGATGTTCGTTATGCCACAGTTCAAGGCTGAAGCAAAATTATTGGAAACCAAAGAGGGAAAGAAGATGAAGATAAGGTTTCATGCAGTATTAGCAAAGGCTCAAGAGGAAGTGTGGTTTTCGGAGAAAATTAAGAAGGTGATATCTATAAAAAGGGATGTCATATTCGAAGGGAAGTTTGAAAATTTGAAGTACACTGTAGCAAGAGCAAGTGGGAAGTTACAAGAATTCACAGTGGCAGACTTTCCTTTGATGAACACATATGATCTAATAAACATTTCCTTGATACTCAAAGACAAATCATTTTCTTTTCTCTAAGACACAGAACCAGATATTTTTAGCCTTGGGTGCAAGCACATTAAGATATATTTGGAGAATTACTTTGAGTGCTTGGCTCAGACTGATGCCGAACTTGCAGTTGTGATAGGCATCGACATTACTGCACCAACGACACCATAGAAGAAACAAAATTAGTTGAAAAATTATGAAGATGGAGAAATTTGTTTAAAGCCATTGGGAATCGTTTTTGCAGGAAAAGACAAAGCTGGAAGAGGTAAGCAGTTCTTGTTTCAAACTTGCGAAGTGGAGAAATACACCAACTCACAATATACGAACTTAATTGTTCGTATGAACCACTGCAAGGAGAACTCAGAAGGGGATAAGAAAGAGATAAAGAAAGTTATCTCTTGGTACATGGAAATCCGAAGAGTGCTGATGTATGCCATTCAATCACTGATGAATTGAAAACTTCGACCTTGATTCCAAAGGGGGAGACTGTTAGGGCTTAAATGTTGTAATAGTCGAAGAGTCAGTTAGATTGTTATGAAGTATATTTTGTCTTCGTAAGAAGGGGTCATCGGATGTAATGTTATTTGTACTAAGGCATATTAAAGTGTTGTCTTAATGTCTAGTCCTTAGTATTGTTATGCTTTTCTTCTCCTATAAATAGGGGTCTGTACTAAGTGTTTAAGAGACTTCTTTCACTCAGTTTTTACAGTTTAGTCATTGTAATCTGTAAACTCAAAAGCATAATATGAGCTGAACAAATATATTCTATTTACTCTCATATTCATTGTTATTACTCTTTCTGATTTCATACTTGAATTGATTCAAACTCGATTACAAATCTCATCACATATAATCATTAAAGCCCAACTATGACCCAATTTTCCAAATTGGACCCAACCCTTTACATGGGCCTTACCCTAGGCCCATTAAATTAGTTTAGTCCATATGGATATTCTTGGATGACCCATTAATAATCCAATCATCAAGGCCCAAAAGAAAGTCCCAACAATAAAGTCAAGTGAAATTAAGGTTTCACATAAAATGATGATTAGGGTTAAGTTTCCTACTTAACCCAGTAAGGACTTAATCCATTAAGTCCAATATTGCTTAGATTAATCTTTGCCAATGATTATTATTTAATATCTCAAGTTATTAAATAATTCTCGTGTGTGTGACCCGATTAATTCTTAAAGTTAGGGTTTCATTGGCATTAGGGTTTTCCAATCCAAATATTAGCCCATTATCCACTTGTGGGGCTTTTAGATTAATTAGGGCTTTATTGGGCCTATTAAGCCCACTAGAATAATATTAAGCCCATTAGAGTCCATTAAGCTTTATTGGGCCCACTTGAGCTCACAAGGCCCATTAGGGTTTCAAGCACCCCCAAACGAATCAAACTCACAAGGCAAACACACCGCCACCCGACACGGCAGCCGGTGGCGGCAAGAGGCGGCAGCCACCACCCTAAGGTGGTGGTTTTTCAATTTCTTTCCATTATTCCATTTGTTTACAATGTACAATGCGAAATTCCTAAATAAACACAAATACTAATGCTAAAAACACACACACACACATAACCACCTTGTGGTGGCCGGTGGTGGTGAGTGGCGACAGCCACCACCCTATGGTGGTGGTGATGCCATTTTTGAGAGTTACAGTTATGCACACATACACAGCAATTGAAACATGCATATTTACTTCTTCACTCAGAAAAGAAAGTCAACCACCCACCAGGCGGTGTACGTTGGCGGTGGTGACACGAGGTGGCAGAACGGACACATCTTTGCTAGCAGCAGCAGCCATCATGGCCGGCAGCCATGGTGGTTTGTCTTTAGGTCTTCCAGTCCATCAATTGTCCAAATCGACATCAGCAACCCAAGAGCACCCCTACGCTTGCGATACAGGACTGAAGCTCACATGGACCCACCATTTCAGCGGTGAAGAGTGGCGGCAGTTGCGGAAACAACATGGATGGAAGCGTTAGCAGCGATCTAGAGCAGCAACAGCAACTGTTGTCTCGGTCTTCACTCTTTTCGTTGGATTCACACGATCGCCGGTTCACCATGGTGTCACAGAGGCGGCGGCTAGAGGGCAACATAAGCAAAAGAAGAAATCGCGAAGTGACTTTGATACTGTTGAGGTTGCTGGTAGCCTTGGCTAATCGGAAACGTGGCATGGCAGCTGTGTGATGGTGGAGGGGAGATGGTGGCGCCGGAGGGAGTCATAAGGGTGACATCGTTGGAGAGGATGTAAGGGGTAAAGTTGGTGGTTGTCATAGTTCTCTAGGGTTAGGGTTACGCAACGGTTATATACTCCCGAGCCCTATAAGCATTATTTCCATAATGACCAAATTAGCCCCTCCTTCCACCTTTTCTTTCAAAACGAGTCCATAACTTACTGTTTAAACCCTCATCATTAAAATTGATTACAAATCCAATCAGAAACTTACACTTTTAACCCCCAACTTCTAAAATAATGACAATTAACTCTTCGAAACCATCATTTGATATATAATTGTTTATTTTAGAGCTATAATTCGTTCATTAATTTATTTATTTATCTAATAACTAAATGAGTGTTACTATACAGTCTATGTGTTTTTACAAGACCAATATTTTGTTTTGACAAATTACGAATGAAAATTTCCTGGGAATAATCAAGTTTTCTCTTTGAACGAGATAAGTACATATTGCTCTTGCTAAACAACTCGTGATTATGTTGCTCGACAAAATCACTCACGACATATTTAAGAGTACCGAGAAATATTTCTAAAACAACTTTAGCTTTGAAATTCCTCCTAAATAAATATTTCCTTCTTTGAGTCTTTTTATGCTGAATATCCAGAGTATCTACTTTACTAGTATTTGGATTACCTTCACGATTGCATACAAGATGTCTATTTGTAATAATCCCATTTTTCATTTTTTGTACTCTTCCAAGCCTAACATCAAAACCAAATTCTAATGCATAGTTTCTATACATTCTTACTGCTTCACCATATGAATTAAATTTTGATGTAACTTTTAGTTTGATATCGTTTGAAACAATAGAATTCCAATACAAGGTGCAACCAGAAGAAATGTAATCATGTGTAACATGTGGTTGTTCTGTTTAAACATAGCAAATAAAAAATTATTCTGAAAGAATTATATAAATATTATTCTGAAATAATTTTATTTTTCCTATAAAAATTTCAATCTCCTGAACTCGATTTAGTACCTTCACTAAAATCAATATTAACCTCTATATCTTCACCAACGAAGTGATTTTCGTCTTCTGCATGATTTGCATCCCCTGTATGTCATGGATGATAATATTAACATTTAACATTAAACTTGTTTGTTAAAATATAGAATCTGAAATACAATGAAAAATTAAACAGTATATTCAAAAACTCACCTAAATTAGGATTACTGTTTTCTCCTATTTGAAATACGCCATCATATAGTGTATCATTATAAGGAAAATTGAAATCTTAAATTCCATTGTCATCATCACAAGCCAAATAATGTTCCTCATAAATATGATTATTGACATCTGGCTCTTGATCGCCCATAACTAAGAAATTTCGATAGTGTTTGTATATGATTTGGAAGTTGAAAAAATAAAATATTACAAACTGTCATATAAAATAAATGGGGATGAAAACGGATTCTATGCAAATTAAAATGCTTGATATTAGGGATCACTAATAAAAATAAATGATTCTGATTTGATTGTTTTTCAGAACATGAGAAAGATAATAATATTCATAAGATACTATATTCACATTCCAAATGTAAAAAATACCAACATCACATTAAAGTAATTACTTTACAATATTATTATGTATTTTTTATGTTAATTACTTTACAATATTATTATGTATTTTTTTTTAAAAAGTTACACCATATTTTATTAATGATATAATTCTATTAGAATAATATATCAATATGGGTTATAAAACTCTGCATACTATCAGAATGATATAATTCTATTAGAATGATATATCAATATGGATTATAAAACTCTACATATTATCATAATGACATAATTCTATCAGAATACTTTACCAATATGACTTATAAAACTTATCAATTTGTGTTACCTCGAATCAATGCACACATTGAATATCATTCTGAAAGAATTATATAGCAATATGGCTAACAAGAAAGTTTTCTATGTGTTATCTCCAAGTTAATCTACAAGAATATTATAGTAATATGGTGCTGAAGACAATTAACTCTTAAACTGTTTAAGTTCAATTATTTGTATTGCTCATTGTTTACAATATATATTTTTTGACATTATGTGATTTGAATTTATGAAACATCATACATATTTCATGAAATATAATGAACATTACTTTTTAGCATTATGTTGGAGTTAGAACTGTAGTGTGTTCATCTGATATTTTGCTGCAATGATATACTGTATGATCCTACGAAACATAAATATACCAGAAATGACATACATATTATTAGTTGTAAACATAATAATTAATGGAAAAAACATGGAATTCATCAAATGATAATTTTATTACACTGAACTGAAACTTGATAATACCATATAATTCATCAAAAACATACTTTTATTTTACTGCAAACAAAGTAAATAATATATAAAAACGACTAATTTGATGAATTTCTTGTAGTTCTATTCTTTCTTCAATCCAAAATGACAGTTCTTGCTATCATGACAAAATCCAAAGCATTTTTTACATCTTTTTTTCTTCACAACTTCATTCACCGGGTTATTAGAATCATTGATATTACCCATATCCTTCCTGGGATTTTGATCTTTATTTTCCTGGAAGATTATCAGATTTGATACATATGTATATTTAAAAACAGTAAAAGGGTGTGTGGGGGACGTTTCAAAAATATCTTCATTATCATAGAGAGATGTTGTTAGTAATGTATGAATACCTGGTTCCGATTTCCAATATGTACATACATCGATTGTGTAAAACAAATTGATCAGCAGCTAATGGAATCGACAATTGTGTTTTGTGAGGGGGGACGTTTGCATCAAGTATATAAATAAAATTATATTAATGATAACTAAATCAATCATAAATCATTGCCTAATATAAAGGGATAAGAATCAGACTAAATAAAGAATTTAAATAAAAGATTACATAATTACCCTCAAATAATAAATAAAATAATGAATTATTTGCTAAATTCTCATTGGTGCATTTAGGCACACAATACTTGCTAAAAACATTTGAATCTCTCTCTCTCTCTCTCTCTCTCTATATATATATATATATATATATATATATATATATATATATATATATATATATATATAATCCAATTTGTGATATGGTTTGGTGTGAAAACTAAATTTCATTTGCTAAATAGTGGTAACTTCTAAAATGTAAATATAACTGTCTATCTTCAATATTTCAGGTTCCATTATAGAGATAAAAATTAGGCTATTTAACATAATTATAGATTACTTCGGCAATAGAATAAACCAAAAAGGAATTCAACAATTCTATTAAAGATTTAACTAAATATGATTTAAACTATCTTGTAAAAGGATTGGTTTTAATACAAAAAACAAAAGACAATTCATCAATAATATGAATCTCCTAGTCCCATATCAATAAAAAGAAATATGTTGTGGATACAAACAGAACAACATGAGGTACAGAGAGTATAACTCAGGTATTATTTAAAATATGAAAACATTAAAAGGTTTTTTTGGGGATGTAGTTGCACCCCATCACCATATATAAATCTACCAGAGGCAAACCATTTTGTGTTTGTCTCAACCTGTGATGTTTTTGGCTTGCTATAAACTGTTGTGTTGTTAGGATATTGGTCTTGCTATCATTATCATTGAAGTGTCAGGATGGGTGGTTCATGAGTTATGGATTCGATCAAGTATCAAATTTAGTAAAGAGAAAAAACACAAGATGTAAATAAATATGTTTTAGCTCATATTCAGTCTAGAAGTAGTCAAGGATACAAGTTTGAAAAGTATGAAAAGTACATCCACATACCCTAGACTATAGCACTATTTATATTGTTATTACATAATACAAAATATACAATGTGCCTTCGACATCAAAGAGCATCTACATAAGTGCACACTAAAATACATATGAAGTAGTGTATCCTTATATATAGATTACAACCTGTCGCTAAGACTTACAAAGTAAAGCATACATCGAAGTCTTCGACATACAACACAACATTAACTCTACATTCTCCCGCTTTATGTTGACTGCAGTTGTCTTCATTTTTCCTGTAAAGAAATGATGACTCCAAGAACAGTTCTTCTAACATCCAGATACCATCTAGGTATATATCGTATCTCATTCTTATCTTCCTCTAAATTATTTGCGCAATTATCCATCCTTATCAAAGCATTATTGGTTGACAATGTCGAAAATATCTCCTTCAAATTAGTGTAGAACATGTGTTCTTCTTCACTTTGTTGTATGGTTTTTCAAAGAAAACAATTCCTTTAGAATTATGAAGTTCTTCGCCATCATCAAATTCTTCAATTCCTTCTATTTTAGTACTTGGTATATGAGTTGTCGTATTGAACTCCTTAGCAAGCTCAATGCCTATCAAAGCCATTTGAAAATACTAGAATATGAGAAAGTCTTTAACATGCAAGAAACGTTGTTGTAGACAGTTGGGTTCGTAACTTCTTTTTTATTCGTTTTCAACAAGATTTTCACTAACACCACAAAGTCATGTGGATTAATCAATGTAAAATCGGCTACAGTGAATTCATAGCTCACCTGATCTCCTCTAACCACCTTGAATCGAATGTTTTGAAAAGCATTATCAAACATCATATCCTTCGATATGTTAAGAATCTTGACAATATCGTTTAAAGACCAAACCTTATCCTCCTCTTGGGCATGATTTGAGTGAAATCTGATCTTAATATGCTTATGTGCAGGAGTTTTAGCAAAATTATGAGGAAGGTTAAACTGATGGAATTTAAACATCAAATAACACATTGGAAAATTAAGTTAGTTCTCTACTGTGTTATCAATTAAGTAATTAACTTTGCGCTCCTTCTTGAACTATTGTACATCAAAAAAGGCTAAACATTCAATTGTCTCAAAGTTTCAAAACTTTCTCACACCCCCTTACTTGAAGCTCTTATACCTTCACTTTGTCTATGTTGAGTAAAACTAGAATTTTACCTCCTTTTCCCAATATGATCTTCTTGCATTCATTTTGATTCATTGTTCTTAATAATCATTCCCTTCCATTTATCTTAAGCAAATTGAACAACTTGTTTTTTTTATTTCCTTACCTCCAACTGAAATTCCTTATGTAGATTGAAGTTTCATCATATCAACATCCTAAATCTTTTGAACTGGAATTGTTGTAGTGACAACATAAGACAACACTTTTCCTAACACATTTGCTTGTACTTGTTTCTCATGAAACCACAAACACAAATCTTGATCCTGATCCCCTACCCCTTTCTCCCTTTATGTCATGAGATTTGGAGAAAAACATGGAGCACATGTAGGTAGTCATTTCACCATCTCAACAATAGGTGACATAAATTACTCAAAAATCTTTTGAACAAAAGTTAAAATTGTGGCAATTTGATCAGGATTAACTGTATGAATCATTTTCTCCAACATGGCAGTGCTCAACTTAAGATCTTGAAATGGCTTCAAATAAGTTTCATCAGTTTGCAACATCTTCATTGTATAGTCCTTGTTAAAGGATCTAACATCTTCGATAAGAGTTTTGATGTCAAGAGAAAATTGATCAACACAAGTTTTCAACATGATTTGCACTTCGACATAAGACTTAAATTCTTGACAGACCCGCGACACAGTTTAAGCTAGCATGACCTCAAATGTTTTCACAAGTGCATCTTGAATTTTCAACATAGCGACAAGGAAAAAATCATACGTCGTCTATATTGTTTCATGACCCTCATCTAAGTTTCTTGAAAAGGAAAAATCATTACCAGAAAGTCCATCATGAATCTCAATAAGGCTATCATCAACAATCTTTTTCACCTTTGTTTCATGGTCAACAAACATCTTCTCTAGCATTTCAGTCATCACAGAACTAGAAGTAGATGAAATCATAGATGAGGAACTAGACATAAAATTCAACATGTTTAACATTTTATTTAGAATTTTATATTAGTATCCTGACATTATAGAATTATCAGTCATATCTTCAGCAGAATTATCGAATGGAATTAGACCAAAATCAAAATCTTCAATAGTTTGATCCTTATTCCACAACTCAATAACATCATTATCAGGAGTATCAATAGATTGAGAAGAAATTATTAGATCCTCCAAATTCTTAGACTTAAGAATAGCTTCGTATGTGGGTGAGGTAAAAGTGGCAGAATAGGTTGAGTAACTGGTAGTAGGTGGAGGCATGGCTACTTTGGTAGTAGACATCAAAGGTGGAGCTAAAGGAACCATACCTTCAACAGGTTTTGTAATAAAAGTAGATGTCGATGGAGGTGGTAAAGGCTGATCTACATGAATAGTTGAATTATGAGCCAATGTTAAAGGTGGTGGAATGGAATCTTCGACATGAGATTCACCAACTTTGGTGTTTGTTTAAGCATTAGATGTGTTAATAGTGACATCCATAGGACGCTCTTCCTCTCTATGATTTTTGAAAGAGGGCTTCATTAGTAGTGACTGAGGTTGATTATCATCTTCACGATCCATTTTAGTATCCTCATAATCATCATCTTCTTCGAGCATCAATGCTTTCTTTACCAACCTTTGCCTCATTTGTTTACTTTCTCCTTCGTGTTATCCTTCCTAAAAACTTTAGACTTCTTAGCAAGATATTCCATACTTGGTTCATAAATAGAAATTCTTTTCTTCCTCTTCTTCAAGGCCTTCTTCTCCGTATCTACCTTCTTCAAGATGGCAACTCAAGAATCATCAACAAATGGCCAAACAAGTGGAAGAAGTATCATAGTTTCATTAAACTCCAATAAGTACTTGTTATATTTGGGTGTTCGTTCAAGCGTGGACTTAGGAATTTATCCAACAAAAGGAAAGTCAGTCTCAACAAATGCTTTAGGAATTTGAAAATCGGTAATCGAAAAAAATTGTTCTTCTTTAGGAATATCAATTCATAATTTCCTGTAGGCTTCTGCAAACACAAGAGCCCAAAATCTAGCACTATAAATCTAGCCCACGTGTTTGATGATGCATTCCCTCATCATCCGAACCTGGGGACCAGATCTAATAGGTTCCATCACTTTTTTTTCTCCTCTAGCCACAAGAGATAAGTACTTTGACTTAGCCCTTAATTGTTCTATCTTCATAGAATAATAAGCTTCGTCCTTAACCTTCTCTTGTTTTTTTGCCTTCTTCTTCAACATACAGTCTGGCTAGATGTCACACCCCCGAACCAGAGGACGGAAACGACCGAGAGCTCGTGTGACTTAAATTGAATATCATCACAATGAATATATATGAATCATAACATAAACATCACCATGCATCAATATAATACAACTGACATTGTTCACATCAAGTACATTGTTTTAACATTACAAATCCATACATAAATTATTTGATAGTTTTCAAAAGCAAAACGCACTAACATACCTGGTACTTATTCCTCAGCTTACCTGTTACCTGAGAACACAAGTTATTTTGAAAAACGGTCAACATATGGAATGTTGGTGAGTTCATAAGCAGGTTTGATATGAAAATGTTTTGTGTAGTTTGAACGAAAACAACCCAGAAAATCCGATATTTTCTGAAAAGACCATTTTTTATAAAAATGTATGAAGATCCATAAATACATGCATGATGATTTCAAAACATGTATAATTGAAAAACTTTGTATTAAACGTACAAGTGAAAATGTTGAACTTCCCCAGAAAACCCGATGTTTTCCAAAATAAAAATATCATATAACGGTTTGAATGGTTATCCATCACGTAAATGATTTTGAATTACCTTGATTACTTGATTTATATTGGATTTATTTATGTGAGTCGTTATAACCATGCATGATAATGACTAGTTCGCCTGTCTTAGCATTTTGGTGAACGCCGGAATTGATCTGAAGATTTTGTCACCCTAGACTAGTCGAGTATAACTGTAGCGACCAACTGAGGTGTGGGGGAGCCCCCCGCATAGATCTATACACAAACTCTCGCTCTCCATGCAGGAGACATTGATTATAACTACAGACTACGACCCGCACATGTTGGTGTCACCCGTTATTACTCACTAAATCCCAATTGACTTGATTACTATTGATTATCGACTTGTATTTGTTTACATGGACCTTACTAGTAGTACTAATGGTCCACTAAGCCATTTAGGGTCCCTTAAATATGAAATTGGGTCATAGGAGGCCCAATAACATTTGCTATTAGTCCTTATGCCTAAAATCATGTTAATGGGTCACAGAGACCCAACAAGCATGATTTGATTTTCAAGCCCAAAGTTTGGATTATTTACTTATTTTTAGGAATTGAATAATTGTTGGAAGGTTTTATTGGACGATTGTTATTTTAGATTGGCAGGAGGCTGCTCGGTTGTTGTTAACGATTCTTGGAATTATACATATATTCATCTTCAAGAGTTATAGTTTGTATTTTTGACTCAAACATCTTGATAGTAAAAGAATTGATTCAAATTATTGGTTGACCCATTTCAGCCCTTCTTTAATAAAGATGACAATTTTTTGTCCCTTTTATATAAAAAAAAAGACATTTTAAGCCCTTAAATCATTTTCTTGACACATTTGACCTATAGACCTACTCAATTGATACTCTTAGCCCAAAGTTTATTCTTTGGCAGTTTCAGCCCTTCCAGAAAAGTGTTTGTCGGTTAAAGCCAAAACGTTTGCAACTTTTACAATTTTGGCCTAAAATCCAAAAACTTTACTTTTTTAATCCTTTTTAGTAAAGAAACGAATTTTAACCCTTGAAATCATTTTTTTTTTTACCTTTTTATCCCCTTTTTTGAGAAAATTTTCATTTTAGCCCTTTGAAAATCAGATTTTTCGCAACTTCGGGCCTAATGGGGCTGAAAAACCCAAATATTGGCCCACTGAGCTATTATTTACATTTCAAGTCCTTTGAAGATAATAATTTTCACAAAAACATTTATTTTAACTGTTTTGACTCTTTTGACCCTCAAGAAAACCGTGAATGGCAACTTTTCACCCAACTTTTGTTAATTTAACAATTTAAGCCCGAAAATTTGTTTTATGTTACAATATATCTATTTTAAATCCTAGAGGGTATTTTTCTTGACTTGTTTAGTGTGTTATACCTTAAATCATGTTTTTTTCCTTCTTATGTCATAGATCTCGAGATTTCTTCTCTTTTTGTTGCATATTTACCACATAAACACTTACAATCACACATACATGCATAAAATCATACATAGCACACACATACACAAAGATCTACACATTTTACTTATATTCTCCCGTAAAACTTGTAAAAACAAAAAAAAACAAAGAGGGGTATGAACTCACCTTGAGTTTGTGGGTTTGGTTTTGAAGAAGAATGGAAGAAGTTTGATGCTATTGTCGGCCTAGCAAGCTTCTTGGAGGATCTTTGTCTTAGATGTGCTCTAAGATGCAAGATCATGAGTTTGAATAGATTAGGAGGAGATTTTTGATGAAATGAAGTAGTTAGATCAAGGATTTAAGCACAAACTTACCTTGAATGATGATTTTTATGGAAGAAACTCCTTGAAAAGCTCTAAATCTCGAAAATTTGATGAGGAGAAGTGAAGGTATTCTTGAGAGAGTTTGTTTTAAAAGTTGGATGTAATGTGTGTGTGGGTGTGTGTCTTCGGCCGAGGATAGAAAGGAGAGGGAGAAAGAGAGATAAGTGAAGTGATGGATGCATGGGAACAAGAGATGGTTGCATGGAAGACCAAAATATAATAAGGAGGTGGCTAACCCTCCTTATTTCATCAATTTCCTTTTTTTTGTTTTCTTCTTCTTAGGCCGAGAAAGGGATAAAAGAGAAGAAGATTTGGGCCTTGTATGCTTCAGCCCATATTATGATCCAATTAGATGATTTTTGGCCCAATTGGTCTTTAGAGAGGGTTCGCGGCCCAAAATAGATCAAGGAATGATTTTTATGGCCCATTATGGCTAATTAGGTTAGTTATGGCCTAATAAGATCCATTAGGGTATTTTATTTCATTGTAGGCCCAATATGGCCCAAATTACTAAAATAAACGGAAGTGGGTCCAATTAGAGCCCATTTAAGAGTTCTAAGCCCAAAGTAGTCAAATTGGAAGCTTATTGGCCCATTAGGCCCAATAAGCATTTCCTAGTCCAAAATGGACTTAAACTGAGATTTCTAGGGTTTCCAATTCTTTGTTGACTATTTGATGTGCTTGTATAAAGTGTTTGATGGAAGTTTTGTTGTTATTGAATAAGCATCATACATGGTTTTACATATTTGGTTCATATTTGTTATCATTGTTGTTGTTACAAAGCATCAAAATTCCTAGTTGTGACATCATCCCCTCGTTAGAGGGAATTTCATCCCGAAATTCTTTTGAAAGCTAGATTTGAGAATGCGAGAATAGATGAGGGTACTTCTGCTGCATCTGGTCTTCGTGTACCCATGTGAATTCTATCCCACGCTTCATGTTCCACCGTACATTCATAATCGGAATGGGACTTTGCTTAGTACGCTTCACCTCCATGTCCATGATTTCGACTGGTTCTTCGACGAACAGAAGATTCTTGTTGATTTCTATTTCTTCAAGGAGAATGATGAGGGTTTCATCAGATAAACACTTTTTCAAATTGGAAACATGGAACACAGGGTGTATACTGCTAAGCTCAGCGGGTAGCTGCAGTCTATACGTCATTGGACTAATCCGGGCAAGAATCTCGAAGGGTCCAATGTATCGTGGATTCAGCTTTCCCTTTTTTCCAAAACGAACAACACTTGATCCCCGACTTCAAATTCCAAGGGCTTTCGTCGTTTATCAACGTAGCTCTTCTTACGGTCGCATGATGCTTGTAGTCGAGCTCTGATTTGAACTATCTTCTCCGTTTTTTCACGTATGATCTATGGTACCATTAAAGCATTGTCTGATGTCAGTCCTCTCACTAGCTGGGTGTCACCTACCTCAGCCCAACACAACAGCGATCTACATTTACATCCATACAACGCCTCGAAAGGACCAACTTTGATGCTCGTGTAATAAGTGTTGTTGTACGAGAATTCGATTAAAGGTATGTGGGTATCCCATGACTTTGAAAAGTCTATCACACACTCGTGAAGCATGTCTTCAAGTGTCTGAATGGTTCGTTCGCTTTGACCATCCGTTGGCGGATGATATGCAGTGCTTATGTCAAGATGTGTTCCCAATGCTTTCTGAAGTGATTGCCAAAAGCGTGAAGTGAATCTACTTTCTCTATCCGAGATGATAGATACTGACACTCCATGAAGTCTCAT